TACCTCAGTCAAATCTTTAACAAATGACCCCAAAACCCCAAAACCCCAAAACCCCAAGAGTTATATAAATGAAAAGTAAAAAATTATAATTTCTTAAAATCGAAGAAATAAGAAGAATTATTTAAAATGGAAGTTTTGAATCAAAACCAATAACAGTAACCTAATTAAAATGATGGGTAGGACAATTAAAATGACTAGCAATATGACTACGATGAAATTGACTACAAAATATGTGGAGAATTAGGTATCGTTTATTAATTCTTGTTAATTTACTACTTCAGATGAGAAAAACAGAGCACTAGATGAATTTGCTGGAAGTCAAGGACCTGAAGGAGCAATCTAAGTTAGGATTTAGTAACTAGCGCTTTGCAAGGTACTTGTCAATATTCACAAGAAGGACCTGTTCATTCTAGTCAGAGCATACACTAATTTGGGGTAACTTTACACTCTTTAATTTAATGTTACAGTGAAGCATACTTGAACTTCAAATACTACGAATAAGCTCTAGATCATTTGACAACTGCTCTGAAATTGAACGGTAGTTTGTTCTCGAAACTAGAGGAGACTAAGCAGTTCCATTCACATATCCTTACTCTCCTTGGAAAGTAAATATTATCACTTATTGATTCTTCATTAGATGTTATATGGAGGCTGGAAATCACAAAGATGCTTTGTCTTTGATTGAGAAATCCTTGAAAATGAACAAGCAAGTGTAAGGTGAAGATCATCCATCCAATTGTACAATTATGATTGCAATGGCTCATGTCTATCTCAAGATGAAGGACTTTGACAATGCTACGAACACTCTGTTTACTGTCTGGGAGATATCATAGGCAAAATTTGGTGACAACAGCGAGGAAGTAGGTCAAGCCTATTATGAATTAGCTAATGCTCACCTTAAGAAGAAGGACTATAATGAAGCAATAAAGTACCAAAGAAAGGCACTTCAAGTTTATTAGGGTTTGGAAAACTTCAGAGATAGCGATCATATTGCTAATATTGCTATAACTTTAAGTAAATGGCTAGAAATCGTAGAGCAAATTGATGAAGCTCTTGAGGCCTTAAAACAGGCAGAGCAGATTTACGAGTATAACTATAGTGTGGTAGACAAGAGAACTTGTAAAGTCAAGAGAAACATTGCTCTTCTGTTTTTGAAAGCAAATAAATATGACGAAGCTTTAGAAGAGCTCAAAGAAGTGGAAGAGTTAGAAAAGAGTTTATATGGAGATAATAGTGTATAACTCGGAAAGACTTTCAAGGTCATTGGTACTTTGTATCTAATCAATAGCAACCCGAGCGAGGCTAGGGATTATTTAATGAGAGCTCACTCAATCTTTGAATCAAAAGGTTTGTTAAAGCTTCTCAAGGAAGTCAAAAACAAACTAAAGATGCTTAACTCTACAGTAAAACTGGCAGCAGATGCAGTAGCTGCTGAGGCTTTAGACAGTGGAGATGACTCAGGGTAAGGCAGTCCAGAGAGAAAAAGTGCAGAAGCAGCTTTCAAAGCTAAAAAGAAGAAGGGGCTTAAAAAGAAGGTCAAGAAGACAGTATTTAGAAACAACTTTATTAAGGAAAGCGATTCCAATCAAGCCTAGTGATGAGATTGGAATATATAGATTTATTTTAATTAACTTTATTATAAATTTCGATTTCAGTCGCAAGGGGTTTTGGGGTTTTGGGGTTTTGGGG